CTTATATATATATATATATATATATATATATAAAGCCATAAAAATTTTATGCATTCATGTACCATCTAAACATTGGAAATCTATTTTAGAGGAAATATTTTTCTCATGCAATATATTTCACAAGAAATAAATTTTATGAGACAATGAATTTCCAGGTATCCAAACCACCCCTAAAGCATGTTTGTTTTGTGGAAGAGGGGCATGCCAAAGTCCATTCTTCTATAAAGTTTGGAAGATGCCGCTTCTATAGTGGCGGCCTCCTAAACAACATCGATTGACATTGTTTTTATGGCATTTGGAAGCTGCTGCTTCCGAATGGAGGCTTCTACTCTTGCATAACAAACATGGGAGTGATACAATTCACGGAAGCCGGCTTTCACAAAGCAAGCATGCCCTAAGGCATGAGATATTTCTAAAATGGCATGATGTAAAGTGGATTGATACGTGAATTTCAAGATATCCGAACCACCCCTAAAGCCAGTTTGTTTTTTAGAAGAAGGGCATGTCAAAAGTCCCTTCTTCTACAAAGTTTGGAAGATGCTGCTTCTATAGTGGTGGCCTCCTAAAACAACATCAATTGATTTCTAAGGCATTTGGAAGCTGCTGCTTCCGAATGGAGGCTTCCACTCCAGTGCAACAAATATGGGAGTGCTACAATTCGCGGAAGCCAGCTTTCACAAAATAAGCATGCCCTAAGGCATGAGATATTCCTAACAGGGTGTGGTTTGTATAAAGCCGAGGCTCTAAACAATCAAAATAAAGTGTAACTTAAAATAGTGTCGAGAAATGTGGTTTCAATACTGAAATCTTTGTGATAACCTTAAAATATATTTTCATCCTTAATTATAAAATTTAAAGTTCAAAAATAATGTAGATCGAGCAGATCCATGAAAACTTGAAAATCATGAAAATTGACAGTCCAAAAATGAATTATAATATGCACTATTTCCAAAACTTGAAATCCTTTTTTTTCTTATGTACATATATCTTGATATTGAGATGATCAATTTGAGTATATTTAGGTACCAAAACAACCTCTTCTAGTGAAAATTTTGAGGTGGGATCTAATTTGATTGTTTAGAGTCTCGGCTCTATATAAACTTTTTCCTTCCTAAAATGACATGATGTAAAGTGGACTGATACATGAATTTCTAGGTATCTAAACCACGCCTAAAGCTTGTTTGTATTGTGGAAGAGGGGCATGTCAAAGGCCCTTCTTCTACAAAGTTTGGATGATGATGGCCTCCTAAAACAACAACAATTAATGTTGTTTTTAGGGTATTTGGAAGCTGCTGCTTCCGAATGGAGACTTCCACTCCGGCATAACAAACATGGGAGTGCTACAATTCAAGAAAGCCAGCATTCGCAAAACAAGTATGCCCTAGGGGCCGAAGGCATGAGATATTCCTAAAATGGCATGATGCAAGGTGGCCTAATACATGAATTTCCAGGTATCCAAACCACCGCTAAAGCATGTTTGCTTTGTGGAAGAGGGGCATGTCAAAGTCCCATCTTCTACAAAGTTTTGGAAGATGCCACTTCTATAGTGGCGGCCTCCTAAAACAACATCGATTGACGTTGTTTTTAGGGCATTTGGAAGCTGCTGCTTCTGAATGGAGGCTTCCACTCCGGCATAAACATGGGAGTGCTACAATTCGCGAAAGCCGGCTTTCACGACACAAGCATGGCCTAAGGCATGAGATGTTCCTAAAATGGCATGATGTAAAAGTGGACTGATACAACTTACCATGCAACAGCTCTTCCAGACTCCCCATACAGAAGTACTCGTACACTATGAATGTGTCATCCCCATACCAAAAGCTAAACAAGATCGGCGACAGCAACGCATCGCGGATCCCTCCGATAAACGCTATTTGTTGATTGATTTCCGGCAACTTTGCTAGATACTCCCGGAGGCGTCGAATGGTGACAGTGGACCCACATCCAAGAACCAACTTATACAAAGGCCCCAAGTTGCCCTCCCCTAAGGGAACTCCAAGTGAGTTCACCAGCTCTGCCATGTTGAACTTGAGGGGACAACTCTCATTGCTAAATATGAGACCACAAGGCAATTTCACTTGGATCTCTAGAATGGAAATTGAGCCCTGAACTCCATCATTGATGGATGATTTAATGGGATTTTTTGTGTTGATCTTCTTCAACTCCCAATTGAGGATGCATCTGATGCATAAGATGACCAAGAAGACTGCCAAAACGCAGAGGCCTAGATAGGTCGCCACGCTCAGGAGGTCCATATGAGAGAGAGAGAGAGAGAGAGGAGAGAGAATAGATGAACTAATTGGGGCTTGAATCTTTGAACTTTTTTGGGCCACAGGGAGGTTTTCATGGATATTCTCGCAACAGAGAGAGAGCATAAGGTGAAGCTTCAATCTTGAAAATTATATATATATATATATATATATATATATATATAGAAAAGTAGGTAATAAAATTATTTACCTAAGGTGGTCACAATTAATCTTGATCATGTGAAATTTGGTGGTTATATTTATTTTATTGACCAAGCTCAAAGTTCAAAAAAAAAAATTTCAAATTTTGTGATATACCATACCAAGCTATCAAATTTCATCTCCTATGGCTTTAAATAAGTGTGACCTCCCCTGACCAAAAATAAATGGTCTCATTGTATACAATCCCTACAGAGAGAGGAGAGAGAAAAAAGTTTACATAAGATGTCAATTTTATACTTTAAGGGTTAAGTGCATCTAAAAACCCACTAAAGAAGGTTGTTTTTATGTTGGAAAACCCTTAAATCGATCATCTCGACCGTTTGTTTCCAAAATCTTCAAATGTATATAGATATGCTTGATTATCACCATTTATGGATTTTTAAATTTCATAATTGGGGTCACAAAAAATTTTTATATCAAAGCAAGGCGGTGGAGTACCAAAAGTACATTTTCAACATAGTTTTGAGGCCCACCTTAGTTCAATAGTATAAGGTTTACACCTCATACAAACTTCACCTTACAGAGACAGAGAGAGCATAAAGTGAGAAGAGAGAGAGAAGCTTGAATCTTTTAGAATTATGGGGTGTGGACGAGGTTTTCTTGGGTGTTATCGCCCATAACGATTGATCCAATGTTGGAATCTTAGCTCAGCAACAGTGAATAAAGCGTGTGTATCATGCTCTCGCCGGAGCGTATTGTGTATCTACTCCCTCACTCAAATACTTATTGGGAGATATTTTCAGTAAAATTTTGAGAACCGGAATCATTAAATGATTATTTACTAAAGAAAACTTTCGAATTTCAAAAAAAAATTAACACTTTGATCACGCCTTCAAAAATTAAGTGGTCTTTGTTCAGTCTTAAGATATTATTGTTTTTTAAGTACATAGAGAGTTCAATTCAATTTTTATTTATTTATTAAGAATTAGTCCTTGAGAAGGTTACATCCCAAAAATTTAATCCTAATCCTACATTGTGTTTTACCCAAGGGAGTAAATGTGCAATATACTCCTGTGGCTCCTGTGGGAGTATAAGATCTTTTCGTATAGAACTAGTTGGTTGGTGATATGCGAGTAACATGGGTTGCTAATTTGCAAGGTACAATCCCATGGCTTCTTAGTCTAATATTCAATCTACACCATCCAATCTTATAGCTTCTTAGTCTAATATTCGATCTACACCGTCCAAATCATGGAACGATTAAAAGGAAACCAACAAACAAGGTGACTCAGTTTGATGCAACGAGGCTGACAAATGTAGACGAGACAGATCCAGAAATTTAAAAGCTACCCATGTTTCGTAACGGATTTTAACTTTCCTGTTTGTTTTCTTCATTCATTGTAATTATGAAAACAAAAACCTAGAATGGTTCGATAGGGCTACATCCCTATCAAAATAAGTAAAGCCTCACCTCGTAAGTCATAAAACATTACAATTCAAGCATTGTAAAACGTTTACATTATATTTGCTTGAACATTATGGTTGTAGAAAAAAAATTGGATTTTAAGCTCTGAAAATTGCAACAAATTATTTAAACCATCCATTTCACCCTAAATAAATGTTTATAGATCTGCAAGATCTTTAACTTTTTCTACTTTAAAAAACTTCATTGTCAATGTTGGAAATTGATTTTAGAGCCATCATGGAGATTTTGATTGCTAAAAGTGCTTTTCAGATGAGGATTTGAGGTGAAGTTTTATATGGTTTTCATAAAGCCTAGGCATTATAGAAATCTCATCCTTTCAAAAAAATTAAGGAGCTGTGTGCGTGCAGTGGAAACTATTGTTCCAATGTTAAAAGAAACTCTCCAATCGATTATCTCGATCTCGGGATATATGGATACTAAAAAGAAAGATTTTTCAGTATTAGAAATACTGCATTTTATGATACATTATCTGAACCACCCATTTTCAAGATTTTGTAAGTGTTTTCAAATATGATGTGCAGACTTTTGTACAAAGAGAGATTTCAAATCCTGAAAATAGCCCAATTAATAATTCATAAATAGTGTGAAAAAAAAATTATATAGACAGTCCATTTTGATATTATAATAAATTATATGCACCGCCAATTTTGCCTTAAAAATAAGTATTCATAGATCCACAAGATCTATACTATTTTTTTAGTTTTAAATTTCATTGTTGTTATTCGAAACTGATTTTAGAGCCATCATAGAGATTTCCATCGTTGAAAGTACTTTATGGACAAAGATTTTAGGTGAGGCTTTATTTGGTTTTCATAAAACCTAGGCCTTATAAGAACCTCATGCTAAATTTTTTGGGCAAATCGGTGAGCTTTATATTTTTCAAATAAGCATAATATGTGCTTTAGAGAGTGCATACTCACATGGAAGCATATACTATGCATCTATTCCCTATTCCCTTGCGCAGAAGACCTGCTTATGAGGATTTTTTCCAATCTAACTGCATTCTTTTTCAAAGATAAATGTTGAATTTTAAATTTTCTAACACTTTCATCTCACCCTCGAAATAATTGAAGGGTATGTGTTCAACCCTGAAACATTCGTTTTTGGAAATGTATATAACAATACCATTTACATTTGATACAAGAAGGTCACAATCATTATTGATTATTGGATGTGAAATTGAGTGGTTGAGGATATCTCATTAATTGACCACAAAGTCCATAATAAAATTTTTCGAATGTTGTGATTGCTTCAATCTATTGGATTTCCTAAAAGTGATTGTGACATCTATGTATCAAAAATAAATGGTCTCTAAATATTCAACTTAACCTTTTTCAAGTGTATAAAAATTGCTATTTGATTTTTTTTAATTTTTTTCAAGGGGTAGTCCATGGGTTGAAATACTTACCGCTCGTAGCTTTCTATCTCTTGGTATGCCCTTGTTTTAATTTGAATGTCACATATCCACAGCTTTAAAAAATTATATGAATACCTCAATAATGTAATTAAATGTGGAAATCAGTTCCATTCTTGAATCCATTATCGAGTATAGAAAATTACCTTGGAAACATCAACTGGGGCATTATTTGTGCTTGAAATTTGTATAGAATTCTCTTCACCTTCAAACATGAATTGCTGATTCTCTCCATGTTTTTCCACAGCTTTCTTAAACCTGTTACTCAACATTGCCTCTCCGAGAACTCGAAGAGGGCCCATCTGAACACCATGTTCAAGAAAGCCTGTGGAAAGCATGAATAGATCAAATCTTTCATTCTTCCAAACTTCCTAAAAGAAAAATTCGACTCTCAAAGACAGATCCAAATTTCATCAGCATTTAGTTAAGGATAGGGAGAGACAAATTTCATCAGCATTTAGTTAAGGATAGGGAGAGACAGAGAGCGAGGGGAAGGAGTGGGGTATGGGCATCAGTCCTTAATGGGGTGGATGCCTCAATGTGACGTCCAATCGTCCATTTCCACTATTAACATATCATGGAGAGAGAGAAAGGGAGAGATGGGAATGATGACAATGAAAGAGGGCATGCTAGTCCATTTATACAGGTAGAGGGTAGCCATAACCACCAGCATATAAGACCCGGTCTATCAACCCACTTATTCCCCTAATTTTGGCAACTCCCACGAACCTAGCCACAACTTTTCTAGACTTCTGGAGGGAGCGGGTCCTAAGTTGAGCTAGTATAGCGCTCTCCAACTGGAACATACTCTGTATTTAATCTTTAGAGCAAAAGATGTAGATAATTTTTTAGCATGAGATTTAACCAAGAAAAAAGCTTATATAAGGTGTCAAGCTTATATTGTATTAGTAAGATGCACCTAAAAAATCCATTAGAGAAGGTTGTTTCTATACTGTAAAACACTCAAATCGATCATCTTGACCTCGAGATTCATGGATATGAAAAAAAGGGATTTCTAGTCTTAAAAGTAGTTCATCTTCTAACACATTATCTGGACCGTTCATTTTCAATATTTTAATATGGTTATAGATATGCTTGATTGTCATCATTTCTAGAACTTTAGATTTCATAATTGGGGGGCAACGATAGATTTTATATCATCGCAAAGCTTTGCAGGCAGGTACAATTTCAGCATAGTTTTGAAAGCTTTGCAGGCAGCTACAATTTCAGCATAGTTTTGAAGTGCACCTTATTGCAACAATTTAAGGTTGACACCTTTTGTTTTTGTTTTTTTTTTTTTTAAGAGAGAGCTTGTACTCGTGTGATTCCAAAATACAAACGTTTAATAGTACAAAGCTCAATATTCAATTGATTTTGGCAAAAGCAAAAAAAAACAAAAAAAAAAAGAGAAATTATCGTAAATATATTTTAATTTAAGTTTAATTGAAAAAAAAAACCCCCAAACTTTCATTTATCTCATCTGTACCTTTTGTCTTCATTTTTATCTTTTTTTTTTTTTTTTTACCAAAATGACGTTCACGGTAATCTTACTACCGTAATACATATCATTTTGTACGGTATTTAAAATACCGTAGTAACTTCAAATAATGTTAAGGTATTTAATATCATTTTATACGGTATTTAAAATACCGTAGTAACTTCAAATAATATTACAGTAGTTTGAGTGCCGTAAAACTCTGGTCATACCGTGAAACCAATTATGTACTTTAAGTACCGTAAAAACTTACGTACTTTGAGTACCGTAAAAACTAAAACCCATTATACGGCATTTTAAATACTGTAAAAACTAACCCATCTTATACGGTACTTAAAATGCTGTAAATCATTTTCTCATCCTGATTATATTTGTCACTTTCATCTCTATTTATCTCTTCTTTCTCTCTAATTCTTTTTAATATTTATCTTTTCTTTTTCTCTCTAATTCTTTTTTATCTATTCTCTCACTGCAATCTCATCATCGTTTCCTTAGATCATGTCCTCTGTTTTGCATAGCCGAAGTTAGTGTTTGATTACTCTCTTTACGGAAATGATGATGAGATTGTAGAGAGAGAAAGAATAGATAAAAAAAAATTAGAGGGAAAAAGAAGAGATAAATATTAAAAATAATAGAAATGATTATATAGAACCCTCCTCAGGTAGGACTCCAAAGGATCACCATTAAATTTGATACGGATCTATAGAAAAGTCAAGTCCCATACCTGTGACAACTTTTCTAAAGATTCGTGTCAACTTTAATGGTGATCCTTTGGGGTCCTACACATATGGGTGGGAAAGAGTCCTATAGGATCATTACTCTAAAAATAATTAGAGAGAGAAAGAATAAATAAACATAAAAAAGAATTAGAGATGAAAGAGATAAACATAATGAGAAAAAGGTTTATCGCATTTTAATTGCCCTATAACATGTGTTAGTATTTACAATACTTAAAATGCCGTATAAAGGTTAATGTAAGTTTACAATACTTAAAGTATCGTATAAAATACCCTCAGTATTACGGTACTCAAAATACCGTATAAAATTCTCTAAGTATTATAGTACTTTATAACATACACTAACTATTACGGTAATCCCCGTGAAAGTCATTTTGGTAAAAAAAAAAAAAATATGCAAACAAAAAAAACAAAAGTAGTGGGTTTTTTTTTCAATTAAGCTTAAATTAAGATATATTTACGATAATTTCTCAAAAAAAATGGAGATTAATGCTGGACAAACGTTTCTAATGTTCATTCATAATAATGTGCTAACTTTAGTAAGAAATGCTCAAGTAGTATTTGTACATATTTGTTGCTCATAAGGGTGAGGGTTAAAAACCCTCTATAATCCTGGCCTTTTTTGTTTTGTTTTTGTGTTTTTTTTGTTTCTCTCATAAAAAAAAAGAAAGAGAGAAATTGAGAAGACAATTTGAACCCAAAACCTCATACAAAGAATACTTTAAGAGTGCATGATCTACCCAACCCACCCCAAATATTTTATTAAGACAAGTTGAAAGCTAATTACGTATCTATTGTTATGATGCTTTTTTACTTTTTTTAAAATAAAAAGAGCATCAGATTCGAATCTAAGACGTATCACGCAAAAGCACCCCTAAGAGGGGGGAACCTGACTAACACAACATCCAATGCTTAGTGGCATAAACGAGTAAGATATTTTATAGGGAAAAGTTTATATAGCGCCGAGGCTCAAAACAATCAAATTTGAACTTACCTCAAAAATTTCACTAAAAGAAGTTATTTTTTATGTTCAAATAGCTTCAAATTGATCATTTTGACAGCAAGACGTATGGACAAGATAAAAAATGGATTTCCAATTTTGAAAATAGCATATTTTGTAATGCATTTTTTGACCGTCAATTTTCAAGACTTTCAAGTTCTCATAAATCTATCGATCCACACTATTTTTGAAGCTTTAAACTTTATAAATATATATTTTAAAGCTATCACAAAAATTTTCAATATTGAAACCACTAGTTGAAAGTAGGCTCTAATTTGATTGTTTAGAGCCTAAGCTCTATACAAACTGCACCTATATATTATATATACATTAATTTATATATTGATTTCGTTTGTTTCAACTGGAACTCTACTCATGCAAGTTACTCAATCTGAGTATCTCGGCCCGGCAAAGTGCCGAGTACATTGGCCGAGTCGATTTTTTGACCACTGCTCTAAACTTACTCGTAACAGTACTCTCCATTCATAACAGTTATAAAATTGCCTAAAGTGAAAATGCCATGGTTGGTCTGACACACCCTTAACATTATAAAGTAACAAGAGAGACCAGCTGGCATATATTAGAACAATCCCCAACACAGACATCTGAGAGATCTGTACCTTCTCAAACGAAAACTATAATAATACAAGATGATATACAGTCGAAAGATATTCCAATACATTTTAATAAACCATTACAAAGTAAAGACTGACTACAACTCAAAGACTGACCAAGTCCCTGGTGAAAAATCATCACAAAACTAAGGAGGAAACAGAGAATATGTTATCAGAAACCACCAAAGAAACAACCCAGATATTCATAGTGAGAGAGAGAGGAAGAGAGAGTCAATCAATCGGTTTCATGGTCAGGGAGGTGGGAGTACCAAGCGGGGGACCTGCCCTTGCTTCTGAGAAGTCTGGTGAATGGAGAATCCGGCATGAGAGCCCTCTCTTCCTCTTCTAACTCTTCTTTTGTCTTGGGCAAGCCATCAGGAACTGGAAATGGCCTCTCTGTTAACTGCTGCTCACTGGGTGGGGGCTTTTCTAAGACTTTCTCTTTCGTCTTCTTGATCATGGACGCCACCGCATGCAACAAGCTTATCAAGGATTTTACTCCATCAGTTTGGCGAATCAACGACTCTACTTGCTCTCTTGGGGTCTCTGCCTGTGTGCACAGAAAGACCAATGAATGAGTAGAGGAAGCCTTACAAAAGCGCAGAGTAAAATGATAATCTCTCTCTCACACACACATACATACAGTAAAATGGGGGGAGGGAGAGTGTTACCTCGAGCTCCTTAAGTTCAAAGTAAGCTCTCCAACAGCCGTAAGATTCGTCTCCATCAACCGTTGAGCAGTAATCTGCAACAAAAAAAATTAAAGTAGATTGCCAACAAAATAACTCCATGGTATTTGAAATGAGGGTATCTTATATCATTGCAATTTGGAGCTTCTTGATATATTTGGATTGATCATTTTCCAACTCTTAAAAAACAGAGTAAGAGACAGAATGGAATAACAAATGAGCAGAAGGACACAAAAGCAATCGAAGGAAAAAGAAATTCTTCACCTTTATTAGATAACAGAAAAGTTTCTCCAAGGTCCCATGCCATCCCCTTCTAAAAATCCTTCTTAGGATTTAATATATGAAACACATATTAAATCATTCTGGATCTATTTTCGCTTCGGATTTATGATTTTGCAGCTTAAGAAATGGTTCAGATTTGATGATTTGATAAGGATCAAAATAAACAGTGATGAACTGTCCAAAAAAAAAGTCTAAAACAGTCAATTTTATGGTTCAATATTTTTTTTTCAGATTCATGCTCATGGTGGTAAAGATTATCGACCTATGAAATTTTAGTCCGGAATCCATCTCTCAAGTTGAATTTCTCGAAGGAGACTGCATTTGAAGAAGTACTTAAGAGGCCCATTTTGATAAGGGTGTGGTTTGTATAAGGCCGAGGCACTAAGCAATCCAAGTAAGGCGCACCTTCAAATAGTATTATGTTGTTTCAATACTGGAAATCTTTGTTATGGCCTAAAAATTTTTTTTCATCTCTAATTATAAAATTTTAAACTTCAAAAGTAGTGTAGATCGAGATGATCAATTTGAGGATTTTTGTGCTTCAAAATAACTTCTTAATTTTGAGATGCGCCCTAAATTGATTGTTTAGAGCCTCGGCCTTATATAAACTTTTTCCTTTTGATAATAAAGGAAAAAGTATAAATAAGATGATATTCAAATCCCTCTTAAAAAAACATTCATCTTAGACATGGATCTAGAATCTGAGACACACCCTAAGTCACTATATATGCATTCTTGTGAACAATATACAGCAGAGTTCTGGAGATTTGTGGTGGTCTCCACTGCGTGGGAGCGTGTTTCTACTACATCTTTGTGATTTTGCAGCACAAGAACTGGAGCAGATTTGATGATATGTAGAGAATTCAAAAAGAACCAGAACAATCCATGCTTAAAATCGTCTAAGTAAGATTTAAAAGGCGCAATGATCATCTCAAAAGGACGGTATATTCTCAAGCCAAAAGACATTGTACTCCTAGTAAACTCTCCATTTACTCCTCCTGGTAAAACCTCAGGATATAACCTCCTAACTTCCATAAAAAAAAATTTCTCCCTCAGTAAAACCCGACCTAGGATTAATTTTAGGAAAATTGTTCCATGCGGCCGGGATCGCATTTCTACATGGTAAAAAGCATCCATCTTTAAGATTGGATGCAAATCGGCGGTCCATAAAAAAAAAAAACAATTGAACAAATGTCTTTTTAATAGAAATATTATTTTTAATTTTTAAAATTTATTTATGTTTTATATTCATAATCTTCATGTTAGAGATTACATATCCTTAAAAATTAAGCCCAAAAAAATCCATCTCAAAAGTAAATTTTTAAGAGGTGACTCATTTCTACAATAACTCATAGAAACCATGTCTTTGATTTTAGGATCTCAATTTTTGGAGACATAAAATCTTTGACGCATATTAATCTCCATAAAAAAAAATTACTAATTGCACCTTTGGAGGACTTGAAAAAAATTAATAGGTAAAGATTGAATAGAGACTGTTCAATTTTTAGAGGATAAAATCTAAGCGTTAGAAAACTCAAAGTTCTAAGTTATTCTTTTGAAAACAATCACCTGGGAATTATTAGGTATTTCCAAAAATTTCACATTGAAAAAATCCTCCCAGAACTTTGCTCCCGAGGGAGTATAGTATACGGGCTCAAGGAGGATATCTTTGTCATTTAACCAAATTTGGTTTTATTGATATTTTTTAAGGTGCGGTTTGCCCTTTCAATTTGAGGATATTTTGAGCATAAAAAACAACCACTTCTAGTGAAATTTCTGAGATGGGGTCTAATTTTATTGGTTACATGGGCTCTATATAAACTTTCTTCTATTTTTTATTTTTTTGTAGGGTAGTGAAAGGTGCGATAGCCTGCAAATATATTTTATTTTTAATTATAAAATTTAAAGCTTAAAAAATAGTGTAGATCGATTGTATCTATGAAAACTTGAAAATTGATAAAATTTGAAATCTTTTTTTTTTTTATTTCATGTCCATACCTATAGAAGTCGAGATAAGTAAGTTGATGATATTGGGGCATCAAAAAAATTTTGAAGTGGCTCTAATTTGATTGTTTAGAGCCTCGGCTCTGTATAAACTATTTCATGGATAGTCGAACTCGAAAGAAAAGAACAAGGGACAAAAATAGAAATAACAAGTATATAGCGAGACAACAAAAATCTTCTCCCAATTACATAATAAAACCAAGTTATTAGCAAATTTTACAGGAAACTCAGGTTACATATTATAAAAAATTTACAAGAAACTAAGATTTATAAGAAAGAAGAAAAAACCTGCAATGGCATTCTCTGATTTTTGAAGAAAAGAAGGCTCTTTAAGCCCCCTATCGATTCGGCTTCGGCTGAAAGACTCTAGCTTCGGTATTTCGCTTCTCTGATAAACGCACACTGTTACACTCATCTTTCGAGAGTTCTCTGTGAGAGAAGAGAACGGAGGAGAGAGAGGTGGGTTTGAGAGCGTAAGGCACCTGATCATATTCGCAGGAAACAGTTGAAGAGAGATGGAAGGTTTTACAGGAAAGAAAACTTGATGGATTTCTCAGAAATGGATGATATCGGATGAGAGTGGAGGCTTTTTTTAGAGAGAGAAATGAATGATATCGGATAAGAGAGAAGGTTTTCCGAGAGAGAGAGAGAGATTGCAGAAGTAAGATGATGCTTAATTTAGAGAGAGACAGGGAATGTAAAAGCAGAGGCTTAGAATTAAAAAGACCTAGAAAAGGGGATCGGATAAGGATCGAGTCACGTAAGATTAGAATTTGGGAAAAATTAATATGGTACCGACGCTCTAAACAATCAAAATACATCCTACCCCAAAACTTTCAGTAGAAGATGTTGTTTTAATTCTCAAGTATCCTTAAATGGATCATCTCGGTACCAAGATGCATAAAAATAAGAAAAATATGTATTTCAAATATTAAAAATAATATATTTTGTAACATATTTTTTAACCATCAACTTTAAAGATTTTCAAAGTTTCATAGATATGACGATATATATTATTTTTTAAGATTTAAAATTTATAAATAAATATAAAAATATATTTTAAAGCTATTACAAAAATTTTCAATATTAAAATTCCATTTTGCTACACTATTTGACGGTAGGATCTAATTTGATTGTTTAGACCCTAGGCTCCATACAAACTGCACCTTTGGAATATTTATATAAATTCATGACAGATATTGCAGATATTTGTCAACAAGACAGATATTACAGATATATTTTTGGGTCAGCATAAATGTCTACTTCTTTTCTGACTATGACATCAACGTCCTAATAGAAGAAAGCTAAGGACTTTGAACAATAAAAAATGTCAAAGGATGGAAATATATACAATTGGGAGGGAGTGGAACGAAAGGCCCGAAGGTGAGCTTGAGGTATCGAATAGCTCAGCTTTAGATCGATGGCCCTTGTTGAGCTCCAGGGCCGGGCCGGCGGCCTTACTATCGAATGGAGCTTAGTATCAGGCTCAGCTCTTCGCCCTGAGCACTACACTCACGGCTGCGACCAGAAGCTATCGGCCTGAGCTCACGGGCCGGCCCTATCGTAGCGAAGGCTATCTCAAGCTCAAAGGATTGAGGATAATATTATATTAGAATTTCTTTGATTTGATGCATAACATTATATAAGAATTCTAATTTTTATTTTTATTTTTCAGTGTCGATCCTAATTTTGGAGCTAGGACTTGTTATCCATCGAAGATTTTGACGTTGTATATACAATATCTCATATGTGTATAATACTTTTGAATATTCAATCTCAAATAGTTAGGATAAGACTAGGGGGTAATGATGATGATGACGATAATAATACTTTCCAATACTAATTTAGCTCACCATAGTGATTATGACCTCTTTATATTAAAAGTGAATGATCTTTTTATATACTTTTTAATACATAATTATACATGAATTTTTATGAAAATCTAAAACATTATGGTTGTGAGGTCGGCCTAAGACCCCCTTCGGTCAAGTCTCTCCTACATTTCTCTATGTATAAACGTGATTATGTATATGTTTAATTTCATCAATAACAGATAGGAAATTTCATAGGCTTTGTACCCTCTTTTCCATGAGATAATATTACGTGAATCTCCTTCCACCACCACTGCCCTCAATCCACCTATTAAAAATTAGTAGGAGAGAATTGTCTATAAAAAAATCATTTATCTTTTATACATGGAGGTCACAATCATTCTCATTTATTGGATGTTAAATTTGATGGCTTGAGTTGAGTCACAAAGTCCAATAATTTTTTTCTTTTGGAACTTTATGTCTATTCAATTATACTCTTACAACCACCCATTTTGAAATTTAAGAGACAATAATGATGATAACCTCCATCTACAAAAATAAATTATCTCTTTGTAGGCAATCTCTACTAAAATTGTCCACTAATTGTTACTATGATAGAGGATTAAACATCGTTCTTTGATTAAAATTGGTCTAAAGATGGTTGATTTTTAAAATCCATCAAATATCATGAGATTAAAACTCCAATGGTGGGTCTTGGTGTACGTTACACTTTCATATTTGGAATTGGATGGACCGTCTATATATTTCAAATAAACGGCCTTTCTTATATTGAAATTGCTGCCATATAAGCACTATTTTCATTTTCCTAGCTCAACAACCTCAACAACATAATGATTTTCGGTAAAGATTATGAAAAAAATAGATTTCAAACTCTAACAATCATAAATCTTGTAATATAAATATATTATTTCTAAACTTTATATCTCATCGATTTTTTAATTCTATTGCGTTAAAACGAGTTTCCATCTCTATTTAGCAATTACTGTAATTTCAATGAAAGAAGAGGATTCGTGTATTCAGGCGGGGCCCAAAGTCCTGAAGCGAACCAAGGGCCAGAGATTTGAAAGACGGGCGATAAGATATTCGGCGTTACGACGTAGTTTTGATGAATCTTAATAAATATCCCTCAACTCTATAACAATTTCATTCATGCCCTGATGGCTCTGTTTCACAGTTGGTCAAAAACACGGTTTTTAGATGGACCACCAATTCGCATTCATCTCTAAGATGGATGCTTTATACCACTAGACCATATAATGTAGAAATGCGGTCTAGCCCTTATGAAACAATTTATCATTGGGCAATGATTTCATGCGATTGTTGTATAGTAATATGATGTACCAACCTTAAAATACTATTTTATGGTCATTTGTTTGGTCTACATTTTGAAATATACACTCTTTTCATTATAATGAACAATCACATTAAAAAAGGAAAAATTGAAAACGTAATCTAGAAATTATTTTTTTAGCCCAATTAACATAGACCGTTTATTTTTGTGAGATACTTAGATCTAGCTCTTAGAAGGATTTTTTCATTTCCAAATTTTTTGGATGGCTTTATTATCATTAGATGAACAATGTTCAAAAAGACAAAAATAATTTTGAGTTTATAAGGGCTAAGATATTGAAATTCACAAAATAAATGGTGTAGATTCATTTTTGGATGAGAGTCATTTTGACCATATCTAAGGTTCAAATTGAACTCTTTTTTTTTTTTTTTTGTGACTGATTATTGAAATGAAGAAAGTGTGTGTGCAAAATTTGGGATCATACAAATACCACAAACATGATTTTCTAGAAGTCTCATTTCATTATATTATGATACAACTGTTGCAGTGGATCATTGCTCTTTATCATTGCTCTTGATCATTCTGTATCCGTTTTAGCTTTTGCGAAATATTTATAGGGAAAACTTTATATAGAGCCGAAGCTCTAAACAATCAAATTAGAGCCTACCTCCAAATTTTTATTAAAAGAGGTTGTTTTGATGCTCAAATATCCTCAAATTGATCATCTTGACATTAAGATCCATGGACATAAGAAAAAAATGGATTTCGAATGTTAAACATATTGTATTTGGAAATACATTTTTGGACCGTTAATTTTCAAGATTTTCAAGTTTTCATGGATCTCTGTACTATTTTTAAAGCTTTAAACTTTATAAATAATGATGTTAAGGCTATCATAAAGATTTATAGTATTGAAATCATATTTTTTGACACTATTTGAAGGTAGGCTCACCCATATTTATATTCTCCCATATGAGTATACTGTCCATATGATCCCTCAAACCTATTTGAAGACCCCAAATTTCGGTTTGTAATCTTTACATGCCATAAACTAATATTAATAAGAAAATTTTCCAAATTGAACTTTCTATGCATTAGAAAGTAATAATGTCTCAAGATTGAACAAAGACCATCTAAGTTTTTAAGACCATTTTAAATTTTTATTTTAAAATAATCATCTAGTAATTCGTATGTAGTTATGAAGATTTAAAATTAAGAAATCTTCAAAGTAGATGCTTTGAATGAGTAAATGCACACTATGCACCTCCAGGAGTATAGTAAATGAACCAGGTTTTTATCCGATATACTAAGCATACAATACGTAGTGGGGCGGAGATAAATTAGGATATTTGTTTCATGCGGGCTGGAACGCATTTGTACATGCGTTCCCCAGGTATAAAGCATATATCTTAAAAGTATATATCTTAAAAGAAAGATGCAAATATGTGGTCCATCAAAAAATAATTGAAACTAACAGTTTAAATGTTTTATTAATATAATTATTATTTATAGCTGTCAAATTTTATTTATTTTTTTTATATTCATGATTTCCATGTTAAAGAGTATATATTCTTTAAAAATTAGAATCAAATTCTATTTCAAAAATAAATTTATAATGGGCCCGCATTTATACACGTGGAGGTTGCATGTAATAAATGTGAACGGCACATGGTACAATAGTTGCATCATATTTCTTTCAATCAATGGTGCAATTCTCTATAGAGTATTGTTTCAAGACTGGACCCCATTTCTACAATTTTAAAGATGAATGCAAATAGGTGATCCATTTAAAAACAAGCGTAATTAATTGTCCAAATGTTTTTTTAATATAATTATTATTTCAAGTTTTTAATTTTAATTTTATTTTATATTTATGATCTCCATGTTAAAGATTATATATTCTCTAAAAATTAAGATCAAATTATTTTTGAAAAATATATTTATTGCCAAGCCCGCATTTCTACAATATGGGGGCTGGCCACATTGAAACCGTGTCCATTCTCTATAAAATCTTAGAAATTTTTTGTGACACTAATAAGAGAAAATATAAATCTTTAACATTATGAAGTCTTTCCTTAATAAAATCTTACACACCTACTTGGAATCGCTTGGTTTGACTTGGAACCGGCAAGTGGTTGATTCAAGTTAGAGAAGCCCATTACCAACCCATTGCCACTTTTTTTACTTTTACCTATTCAAATCGGTGAATTGGGAACCAATGTGGCTAGGGTTGGCAACAAGCCGGGACAACCCTGGCTTAGCACATGAAGGGCCGGCCAATCCTGGCCTAGCACGTGTAGGGCTGACCTTGATCGAGCCGAAGAGGCCCTAACTCAGGATCGATCCTAACCATATCCAAGATGGGTGACGCAGTATAAAATTTATTGGCAAACAACACCAATAAAAATTAACCGCGATTTAGATAGAAATAAAAGAGAATCATGAGAAAAATGAACAAAACGTGCGATTACAAGTATTTCGGCTCAAAATGGTTGTTGGGTGCCACCTGCGGAAGGGGTTTTCAAACTTAATTTTGATGGAAGTTCGCTGCGGAAGGGGTTTTCAAACTTAA